GTTCTCTTAAGCTGTTTTCCTGTTTTTTAATTATTTTTTCCTTTTGGTTTTCTGATTGGTTGGTTTTTTCTACCCTGTCTTCTAACTCACTGATCCAGTCCTCAGCTTCCTCTACTCTGCTATTTAGACTTTCCAATGTGTTTTTTATTTCTGATATGTCATTCTTCATTTCTTCTTGGTGGTTTTTAATTTCCAACTGGTTGATATTCAACATTTCTATGTCTTTACTCATGCTGCTCATGTCCTTACACATGCTGTTGAGCTTCCTCAAGATCATGGCTCTGAATTCTAGTTCTGTCAACTTGCTTAACTGCACCTCATTTATCTCATCTTCGGTAGAGGTTTCTTGTTCTTTCATTTGGCTTTTGTTTCTGTTTTTCACCATTTTGGCTATCACAGTGGGCTTTGGAGTCTGCCAAATTTTCCCTATGGGTGTTGGTGTTCTGCTGTTTGTGGCTCCCTTTCCTGGGTTTGGATGAGGCAGGGAGGACCCGCTTTAAAAGCCACTGTCAAGTCTTAACTTTCCTGGTTAGAGTTGCTAGCCCAGGGAATGGTAGTTATCCTCTAGCTTTTTTGCCTGGAGGCTATTAGTAGCGGTCACCTGAAGAACCTTGGTTTCTGAGTTGACTGGAAAACTCCTTCAGTTGCTCAGTGTAAGAGGATTTCCCAAGGGTGGGGCAGATGCTGGTTGTTAATGGGCCTCAATTAGCATTTCAATGGCCACTGGGTGGGGTTGAATCTCTGAGGAAGGGGCCGCCACCTCTCCCCAGGGCCCTGGGAAGGAGTAAGATGGCCACAGTCCTGTGTGGCTGCACTCAGCAAAAGCTCTGAGCACTCTCCAAATCCCGAGCGTCCCCACACAGTTCCAGTCCAGTCTGCCTTTCCTCTGCCAGAGCCCAAGGTGAGTGGCTGCTGCCAATTTAGCCTCTGTCCGGGCTCTGCGCTGTGGAGCCGCCTGGGACTTTAACCCAAAGGTGCTGCTCCCAGCCAAGGGCAGCCAAGTCTGTGGCACCAGCCTAGGGTGTAGCACCCAACCAAGGCAGCCGCAAGACCCAGCCGAGGCAGCTGCTGGTCCCAGTTGAGGCCACAGGACCCAGCTGAGGGCGCAGCTTCCAGCCGAGGCCGCTGGTCCCAGCCCCCTCTCGCGTCCTCGCAAGCCTACCAGGATTGAGTCAGTGTCCCTGGTTATGTGGTCCTCCAAGCTGCCTTTTGGTTGCCCCTTCCTGATGATTTGTCTTTATTTTCGTCATAATTCCAGTTTGGTCCTGGGAGATGGTCTGTGTAGCTTCCATTCACTCCGCAGCCATTTTAGAAGATTGATCATTAAGTTTTTAAAGTTCAGCATTTCAAAGACATAATAAGGCAAACAAAAGAAATTGGTAAATACTATATGCAAAATATTTTAATTAAAAGGTTAGCAAATCACCAATATATTTATGAAACTTCAGTTTCACAAGTAAAGAAATAGACATTAAAATGTGATAATTCTTTTCATCTATAAATAGGCCAAAACAGTGAAGATAAAAGCATGCTCTAAAAAACAAACTCCACATTTATGGGGATATGTGAAAGGGAACAGGAGCCCATTGAAAGAGCTTCTCCAATAAATAAAAATAAGTAAACCACTTTGTATTATAGTATTGAATTGTAACCCAAAGTATAAAATAAATGTATATGAGTCCATACTGATATAAATAAATGATTCAATAATAAATGAGAGAAAAGAGACAAATTCCCCATGCAGAATTTCAAATAATTTGTGTAGATAACCCAATCTCAAGAAGGTAGAGCATAACTCCCCACTCCTTAAGTGCAAGCTACTTACTCATAGTGACATTCTTTCATAAGTACAGTATGGGGAGGGAGGATTAACTACAGAGAAGAAACCTGACAAACACTACCTCAGCCAGGTAATTAAGGCTAACATCAAAAGCCATAAATTATGATGATATGTACCCTTACTATGGTGTGATGAAAATGGTACTCTACCTCATCAAAACCTGTAACCCCAGTGTAATCATAAGAAAAATTCCAATAGAGAGGTGTCCTACAAAATTCTTGACTGGTACTTCTCAAAGCTGCCAGGTCATCAAAAACAAGGAAAGTCTGGAAAACTGTCACAGACAAGAGGAACCTAAAGAGACATGACTATTAAATGTAATGTGGTATTCTGGATTGGATGCTGGAACGGAAAAAGGACACAGACAAAAATTAAGGAGATCTTTATAATCATATTGTAATATATAAATGTATCAAATCAACACATTGTATACCTTTAACATACACAACATTATATGCTAATTTATCTCAATTTTTAAAAAAGACTAAGAATAGAAAAGTTGATTCATTTTATAAATTTAAACATCTACTGATATCTACTTTAGAAGAGATAAAAAGAAAGAATAGTTACTATAAGAAAATACTTTGAAATAAAATTGAAAGGTCATAAATACTATAAAAATTTAAATAAAGATAATATACAACAGCAAATGAACTTTTAAATTTACAAATCATCTGTAATCTATCACTTTCTTATTTTTTAGTTCTTTTTTTTTCTTTATTGATTTTAGAGAGAGAGGAAGGGGGAGAGAGAGAGAGATAGAAACATCAATGAGAGAGAACATCGATTGGCTGCGTCCTGCATGCCCCCAACTGGGGATTTGGCCCACAACCTGGGCATGTGTCCTGACTGGGAATTGAACGGGTGACCTCTTGGTGCATGGGTTGACGCTCAACCCCTGAGCCACACCAGCCAGGCTGTAATCTATCACTTTGTACAGCAATTGCACACATACATTTTATCTTCTATATGCACACAGTTTATAGTTGACCCTTGAACAACACATGTCAACTTATACATGGATTTTTTTCAATAAATAATGTATTTTCTCTTCTTTATGATTTACGTAGTAACATTTGCTTTTTTCTAGCTTACTTTATTGTAAAAATATAATATATAATACATAAAACATAAATAATGTGTTAATGGACTGTTTATGTTACTGGTAAGGCTTCTGTCAACAACGGTCTATTTATTAGTAGTTAAATTTGGCAGGAGTCAAAAGCTATATGAGGATTTTTAACTGTTTGGGGGAGACAGATGATGCCCCTAATGCCTGCATTGTTAAAGGGTAAACTGTATTTAAAGTTATAGATATGTTGTGCATGCGGTTTTGTATTCTATTGTTTATTTTACCGTGAATCTTTTCCATGTTTTTTATACATGTGTCTAGACTTAAGCTTTTGTTATGAACACAAAATATTCCACTGTATTGATGTTCAATAAAATTTTAAACTGTTCATCTAATGTTAGATATTTCTGCTATTTCTATTTTTGTCTATTATAATTAACAGTAGAAGATATCTTTCATCCAGTTGAAATTTTAAAAATATATATTAAATAAGTTTATTGGAAAAAATTCACATACATGGTAGTTTTATGGCTTTTTCTATGTATTATGTTTCATTCCCCCCAATTTTACCAATTTACTTTGCAACCCACAGTACAATTTTATGGGGGGGAAAAGAATTCCTAATAAACTATGGGCTTTAATTAATAATAATATATCAATATTGGTTCATTAATTATAACAAATGTCTTATACTGTACTATATAAGATGTGAACAATAGAAGAAACTGGTTGTGAGGTATAGGAGAACTCTCTGTACTATCTTCTCAATTTTTCTGTAAATTATAAACAGTTCTAAAAAATGAAATCTTAAAGAAAACAACCAACAACTCTGCCCAGTGTTGGCGAGTGAGTGCTGGAATAGCCACTTTCATGACCAGTTAGTGGTGTGATCACTCTGTGGCACAGTCTGGAAATATGCATTTAAAGCAATAAAAACATGTGCCCGGCTGGGGTGGCTCAGTGGACTGAGCATCGACTCATGGAATGAGAGGTCCTAGTTTGATTCCTGATCAGGGCACATGCTCGGGTTCCAAGCTTGATGCCCAGAGGGGACCATGCAGGAGGCAGTCGATGTTTCTAGCTCTCTCTCCCTTCCTCTCTCTAAAAAATAAATAAATAAATAAATAAATATAAACATATTTAAAAAAAAAAAAAACTAAACAATAAAAACATGTGCACAGCATAGTCTTTGATTTAGCAATTACACCTCTACCTTAAGAAAATAATAGGGGCTGTGTGAAAAGATAAATCTACAAATGTGATCATCACTGTATTTTTATAATAGTCCAAAGTGAGAAATAATTTAAAAGCATTTGGAATTGGCTAAACATATTTTAGTATATGTGATGAATTATTATGTTATTATTAAATGTTACATAATACAAGAATAAACCAGATAAAAAGTTAAATGGAGGAAAAACATGTTACTAATGAGATGATGATATGATATATGAACCCCACTGTATTAAAAATAATATATTTATACTTACATTTAAATCTCTGTTCTCTGGCAGTTAGTTTATATCATCGAACAAAGCAATGAATAAGTAGAGTGTTGGAGGAGATGAACAGAGACAGATGATGGCAGGATTGGGCAAATCAGGTAGCACTAAGGAGGCCACAAGAATTTGGCTTTTTGTCAGAGTGATAGTGGGTTGTTTTGAGCAGAGCAGTGACTGTTTTAATTTTCACTTAAAAAGGGTGCCCCATGCTACTCTGTTGAGAGTAGACAGGAGGGGTACAAGTATATAAGCAGGGAGACTGTTAGGAGGTTACTGCAATAATTCAGATGAAAAATAAAGATGGCTCAAATAAGTGCACAAAGGAACAATATACATAAAAATATCATGAGGATGGATTTCATGGGGGGTGGTTCTCTGATTTCTGTTTCTCCAAATTTTTAAATAATGAACACGAATCATTTTGGTAAAGAGAAAAATGTTTCAGTGTGTCTACATATGACTCTTAAATCTTTTTATTTGGAAAATATTGTAGATTCATGTGCTAGAATATATTTGGAAGAAAACTTCTTTTTATTAAACTGCTATGAACCATCTTAATATGTGCCTTTTCTCCCCATTCTTCTAGAATAAACAGGCAATTAGTGGCTTTAAAAGTCATCAGCATGAATGAAGAGGAAGGAGTCCCATTTACAGCTATCCGGGAAGGTAAGAACAGTAAAATGGACACAACAGATTGTTTTAAACCCACGATTTGGGGGGGGAAAATGCATTGAGTCTATCCAGTCAGCATCTAGCTTTTGCTATTTCCAGAAGTAGTATTATAATTGCAGTTTTATTCTTCATACCTGTTTTCAAAGTATATTTACACTATCATTTTACTACTTATTCTTGAGGAAATTAAGACTCAAAAGTATTGTAGTAGTTGACCAAGACTATAAGCTCAATTAGTATTTATTAGGTACCTTCTGTGTGTTTGGTCCCACTCTAAGTGCAAAAGCTATGTCTAATAACTCCAGAAAAATTCACATAAGAGATAAAATTAATAAATAATCACTTAAATCCTGAATAAATAATTTACTTGAAAATAATTTGTTTAGATAGCATTTGAAAAACTCTTTGTAAAGCATGTATTTTGAGTGCAGTGCCTATATTTTCTCGGTGCCCTGGGCAGTATAGCAAGTGATGGGGATGGACTTGGGTTTGAATCTTAGATCCACCAGTTACTAGTTACTAGTGTGACTGTGGTTAGATTGCTTTACCTAATTAAGACTCAGTTTATTGCAGAAAGAGGATAATAATAGTACCAATTTCTTTGAGTTGTTGTGAGGATTAAATGAGAAGATGCATTTTAGAGCACAAATCACAGAATCCATTTTCAGAATTCAACAAATGTTGACCATTATTTCATTCTTGTTTATTTCCCTTAGTGATGACTTGTTCGCCATCAAGAAATTTTATTTTTATAAAATAAATCATTAAAAATTTCATTTATTAACCTTTTACAAGAGCCATTTGAAATAAAATGATAATAGGATTGCTATCCATTTCATCAGAAACCCAGAGAAATGGTTCTTCTCTGGCCTTACTTTCTCTGTTTAACTACTTAATTTTCCTTTCCCTTCTGTACATGTACATCCTGTATGCAAAGCATATTCTGGGTGTTGTGATGGATGAGAAGAAAAAGCCCGATCTTTGCTCTATATCATTTTCAGATGTAACAGAGCAGATGGTTCCAGTTACAACCAGTGTTGTAATGGAGGTAAAAAAGACATAAACTAAGATGAGAACCAGTTAGCATCAGTGTGGCTAATGGAGTCAGTAGATTATGAAGGAGCTTGGAAGGATGGGTTATACAAACAGGCCTGGAAAAGCAATTCAGAAAATGAGTTTATAACTGAGTTTGATGCCATTTTCAAAAACCTTTCAGAGCCCCTGGGAAATGTGTTCTTTTGAATTTAATTAGAAGGGCCAAATGGGTATGGGGTTGGCCAGGGATTCAGCCTGGTAGGATCAGGTGCATTCTGGAGGAAAGCATGGTTTTAAGTGTTTAATATAATGGAAGTTGCATTTACTAATGCACTCATTGGTGGTCCTCATTAAAGAACGATCAGATTTAGAAAGAGATGTATGTAGGTTAAGGAGTATTTCTAAATGTAATAAAAGTCCCCAGGTCACCAGCACAGGGAGGGTCTCTAGGCCCAGGTTGACCCCATTCTTACGGTGTTTCCTTCACGTGCTTGTTTATTGTTCCACTCAGATTTTGCCCACAGCCAAGTTTTTCAAGTTGATATGACAAAACCTTGTGCCAGTTTTGCTAACAGATGTTTCTCAGCATGGTTCAGAAAAGCTGGATCTGTATTATTCTAGATACTAAATGTTTCTTTTATTGCATATTTACTAGGAGTTGGCTCTCCATTGCAGGTGTTTGCAATTACATTTAGTATTCAACTGTGGACTTTGTAGGTTTTGCTTTATGGACTTACCTTATTGAAAGCTTTGCTTTATAATATTAAAAACCACAAAAGGATTTTTGACACATTGGAGGTCGTTAGGCATCTAATTTCCAACAATGAATGTTTCTTTTTCCACCAGTGTAAAAAGCTGGGAGCCCTTGTTTGAGCAGCCCTCTCCCCTCAAGAAGATAGGAGACCTCATTTGAAAACTTTGGCACTGTCTCACTTTCCTGTAAGAACTTTAAGGATGTGAGACCAGGGAGACAGGAGGTTAAATGAGAAGGGCTGGAAGGCAAAATGAGAACAGCTGGAATTCATTAGTTAAAATCCAGGGTCACTAGCTAAAAAGGCAACTGAAAGCCACGTGCAGAAAAACTGAACGAGTAATGCAGACTTCTTTAAAAAGCCTTGAAGAAAGAATTACTTTTCCTGAACAGTTTGGCTGGACTGATGATATATCAGCCAAAGATTTATTGAATAGGATTTTATTACATGTATGGTCTCTATATAAGTAGAATACATGTGGCAGATTATTAATCTTCTCATTTGGAATCCTATTTGATCTTAACATGTAATATTATGAAATTAGCAAAAGTATGAACAGCACTAAGGGAAACATATCTTAATATCCATGCCAGATAATTTTCACGTGTTACCTCTTTCAAGTCTCTTAACAACCTTTGAAGATAGATATTGTTATTCTTCTAACATATAGCTGTAATTCAAACCAAGTCTCTCTGCTTAAAAAATGTATACACTCTCTAGGCATTTATTCTGCAAATATGTATTTAGCATCTACTATGGCCAGGTACTCTGCTGGCCACTAGATACACAGTGGTGTACACAATAGACATGTTCTCTACCTTCATTCCTTTGCTAGTTAAAAAGATTAGCTACCTTCATAGCAACTTAGAAAATCTTTCATAACTGGCTCTAGAATTATACTTTAAATGTTTATTTTTACAACTAAGAGAAAACACTTTCATTTGAGTAGATTGATATTTAAAAGTTTTATATAAAAGTATGTTTCCTAGTTTTATAAAACTGTGCATCAATATCTTAATAATGTACATTCTTTTAAATATCTTCCTATAAAATTAGAAACTTTTGGTTTAAACCCAGGACTTTCAGCCTGTTAGCAACATTTGTTTAGGAAGCAGTCATATAACTAACCTTTTTTGAGGACTAGGCATATGACACAGTCCTTAGACACCACCCCCCTCATACACATACACACATTATCTTTTTCTAAAACCCTTACACTAACTCTAGGAGGTGAGGTGTGTTGTTTTTGTTGTAGAGATAAAGGAATCTGAACCTCAGAGAGGTTAGGTAACTTGTATGAGATCTCTGAACCAGGAATCAGAGCTGTTAGGTAGTAGAATACAACCTCTTCTATTTAAAATCCTTTCTATTTTATTGTGATCAATTTAGAACTTCTTAACTCAAGCATTTCTTCTTTCGCAACAGTAAAAATAAAAATCTGTTTTTAACATTTTCTATAAATGTTAAGCAAAATGCAAAAGAAATATTTTATTTTTGAGTCTAAATTAGGATTTAATTCAGTTCTTTTAAATTACAAAGCACTTTCATAATTAGGATGTATAGAAAAATCACTGTTAGAAATATGAAAGTTGATATGTATGGGGGTAGGATGAGGGTAAAAATTTAGGGAGGAACAGTAGAGCCTTTCATTTTTATTTTCTTATGTGTATATTTTATTTGCAATTTTTATTAATTTATTTTTGTTACAGATGTTTCTCCTTTTTCCCTCATTGACACCTTCCTCCCAATCCCCCCCAACATTATTGTCTCTGTCCATTGGCTACGCATACATGCATATAAGTTCATTGGTTTATCTCTTCCCTCCCCCCAGCCCCCTCTTCTGAGGTTTGTCAGTCTGTACCCTACTTCTGTGTGTCTGGGTCTATTTTGTTTATCAGCTTGTATTGTTCGTTATATTCCACAAATGAGTGAGATCATGTGATATTTGGCTTTCTCTGATTGGCTTATTTCACTTAGGATAATACTCTCCATGTCCTTCCATGCTGTCTAAAGGATAAGAGATCTCTCTTTCTTACAGCTGCATAGTATTCCATTGTGTATATGTACAAAAATATGGCACACTTCACAAATTTGTGTGTCATCCTCACTAATCTTCTCTGTATCATTCCAATTTTAGTATACGTGCTGCTGAAGCGAGTACCAGAAGAAACATTTTAAAGAAAATAATATATATTATAGTTGTCATTTCTGATTCTATCATGAACTCTATAGCACCAGTAAGTGCAGTGTTTAAATTAGAAACAGTTTTAGCTAAGGCTTTTTTAAGATCATTCTCTAATAGAAAACATTACAAAGTAATTATTCCCAGTCCATACATGAGAAAACTGAGCCAAAAATAGATTAAGGAACCTCCCTGAGGTCATACAGTGAGGTCAGAATACCCATTAGAACTGATGACTCATTGATTACCATAAATTGCTAGATTGACAAGAAGTTCTCCATTGAATGCAATCAAATCACATCACATACATAGCATATTTACATGTGCATAATTGCATTATTATAAAACAAAATGATGTCAGGATGCTGCTGATGATCAAATTCCAATTCCAAAGAAATCAAATAACAACTACTTATTTAACATTTGTCTTAATATTTATCTTGATGATTTCTTTTTCTGGAATGCATAACTTGACTTGTTGACTTGATTTGTGATACTCGGACCAGAGAAAATGCAACATCAGGAACTACAAACTCTTTTTAATTCAATGCCCAGTGGCAGTTGGGCAGGAATTAGCTCCATTATTGACTCCTACATAAACTCATTACAATTGTCTGGTCTTCATTAATTCACAAGCACTTATTGAGCACCACATGCCAGGCCTGTGCTGGGTACAGGAGATGCATACCCTTGAGGAGCTCACAGCCTAGAAAGGGCTTTGACTACCAGGTACTTACTATATGTAACTGTGCCCTAGGACTCGAGAGTCAGCCTTGTTCTTCCTGGTCACCATCATCTTTTACCTTTTCTTCTAAACTAAAGCAGAACAGAGTAGAGTAACATCAAAACTTTATGACCCATTGCATTCGCAAAGCATCAATTTTCATAAAACTTTACTGAACCATAAAACCCAATGAAATGAACAAAACCAAGAAATTAAATATTCTCCTATAATTGCAAGATGAAAATGATAACTTTTTTCTAAATTATTAAATATCTTACATATATGTGAATCAAATTAAATTCCATGTAATGTTAAACCAGTTAGTCATACTAAACACCTTTTTAGACATATAAAATAAAGAAAGAAATACTTTATATTTTAAAAACAAGCTTAATAACTTTCAGCCATGGGTCATTTTTCTTGATCTTTGGGATTATGTTATTTTCTTCAGGTTTTCTCTTTGGCTTTTCTGGGTGTTCTCATGATCATACTGAGTTAACACGTGCAGAATTCTTACAACAATGCTTAGCATGTGGTAAATACTCAATGAGTGTTAGCTATCATCATCATCATCATTGTTGTCATCATCATCATTATGAAATTCCATTGTGATTCCATTTGTCTGGAGCTTTAAAGACTCCTAATTTATCTTTGTGTCTTTTCTTTGAAGAGAAACAAAAATTAGTAGACTTAGAATATGTGAATTATAAAAACAATAATTTCACAGGAGTCAGAATGCTCTGATTTTAAGCTCTTTCCCTTCTCTGTTGGCTTTGCCTCACTCAGCTGATTAGCCTGCAGAACATACCACATCCTGCTCTGGAGTTTATGAGGCAGCCTTGAAATTAAAAGGAAGATCTTTTCTTTCTGGGTTTGAGACCCACACATCTGAGGCTGTAGGCATTTTAGATTCCTCCAGTGGATGGCCCACACAATATACCAACGCCATGACATAAGTGCTTTAAAATCATCTACTCTTTCATGTAAATTCCCTATTATTAGTCATCAAAAGTCACAGTTTCTCAGTATTTCAGTAGTTCTTGATATAAAAAGAAGCAGTAGCAGACATGGCCATAACAAACACAACATTTATAATCTAATGAGGAAGACAACTAAAAGAAATAAGAAATAAAAGCATCTTCAGCAAAAACACCCCATTCCAACAAATAAAAGGTATAGAAGTGATATTAGGCAATCAGTGACCACTAACTTGATGGTAACTATTTATTGAATGCTTATAATGTAGCAGACATTGTTCTGGACATTGAAGATGTAGCAATAAGCAAGACAAAAGTGCCTGCTCTTAATAGAGTTTATATTCCTAAGGGTGAAAACAGACAGTAAACAGATATATAATATGTTAGGGGCAATGAGTGCTATAATATGTCAGGGGTGATAAGGTCTATGAAGAAGAATAAAGCAGGGCACAGGGATGGAGATCACTGGGGTGGGGAGGTGGTATCAGGGAAGCCAAGACTTTGAGCAGAGTCCTGAAGGAAGTGAGGGAGAAAGCATACAAAGAGCTGAGGTGAGGGTTGCAGGCAGAGACAAAGGTGAGCATCGGACCCAGGGAGGAAATGTGTTTGGAAGTAGCCAAGGCACAGGTAGGAGGCCAATATGTCTAGGTCTAAGTAAGCATGGATAGGAGTGTGAGTTGGAGGGCAGAAAGTATCAAGAAAACTGTATGAAATAAAGATTTATACCCACTGATGTTAGCAGTGAGCCTCATCCTAAGTGAGCTTTTTAGCAAATGATAGTATGAAGCCATTATAATTAACAAAACATGCTGCTGTGATTTTTAAAATAAGCATCAGGTGATATTTAGTAATATCATATTTAAGTGAGACTAAATTTTGTATTAAAACTAAATTTAAATATCTTTACAATATTCTTAGTAATTTCAGCTTTACCATATCCTCTTAAAATCTAATTTTGGTATATGTTTTGTAATGTTGTGGGGCGTGGTTAGAGAGGGAGAAAAATGAACATAATTTACAAATAAAAATACAAACATGTTTAACTGATGATCAGAAGTCATCATAAGTATGCAAGGTGTTGAAAAGTCTAGCAGGAAGTGACATAAACAAAATTAAAATATTTTAAAATTACAATTGAATATAATACTATATTAGTTTCTGGTGTAAAACATAGTGATTAAACATTTATATAATTTATAAAGTGATCAATCACCCTGATAAGTTTAGTACCCGTATCTGACACCATACATAGTTCTGTCAGTATTATTGACTATATTTCATTTACTGTACTTTACATCCCCATGACTGTCTTTATAACTGGCAATTTGCATACTTTAATCCCTTCTCCTTTTCACCCAACCCCCCAACCCCCTCCCATCTGGCAACCATCAAAATATTCTCTGTATCTATGAGTTGACATAAACAAAATTTTAAGATATGAATCTGGGAGTGGGGATTTAGTAGGGTTCAAGGTGAAAGGGAGGACCAAGTACCTGATGGCTGGGATATTAATTCTAATTTGCAACTGTGTGATGCTTGACATTTGCCAGAGATCCATGCATGGGATCTGGTTCCATCCTCATGTCAACCTTATGAAGTCAAGTCAAGAAAGGCATTATTATCTCTTTTTCATAAGGAGTGAAACGAGACTTGGGTTGAGATACTGTCCCGAGCTCACTTGGATAGAACGTGACAGGGCCAGGATTCACATCAGGGCTTCTGGCTCCATCGTCAGCTCTCCGTTAAGACACTCAATAAATATATTTGATAAATTAAGTGCTTACTCTTGGCTGAGCGCTGTACAAGGTGGTGTGGCGGCATCTGAAAGAGAAAGTCACTCCTATTCACATAGTCTTTAGTCTGGGACTAGGGACATTAAACAGATGCCTGTAAAACCGTTTACTACATTTACAAAGCAATGTGCTTGTAAGAGTGAAATAATATATTTAGCTCATAAGGATTCAGGGGGCAAAAAGTAAAGTTATAGTATTAGTCATTAGAGCAAAGTAGGATTAATAGGTGGAATAGGGCTCCTTGGGTGGTAAGAAGTTGCTAGCTCAAACTAAGGTGAGTAAAGAAGGAAGTTTACTGGCTCAGAGATCTGATAACTACAAACTAGCAGGAAGCAGATGATGTCACCAGGAATCCATGCCTGTTCATCCCCAGCACTGTTTTTCTCTGCCTTAGTTTATTCCTAGATATTGGTAATCTGGCCAGAGCCGCTCCTGGCTAAATCCTACAAGCTCAGCTCTCACAGTGGAAAAGAAAGCATGTCTATCTTGATGACATCAGCAAAGTAGGGCTCTCCCAGGCTTAGACTTTGAGTCTGTCTCTGAACCCATCACTGTGGCAAAAGGGAGATGTGCTTGATGGATGCCCAGGCCTGGGTCACAAGCCCAGTCTTGGGTAGGAGTGGGGTCAGCCCCACCAGGATGGCATGGACTGAGTAGGAAAGAAATTGTTTCCCCAGAGGAAAATAGAGGTGCCCCCACTAAAAGGGGGAATGGCTGCCAGGAGGGAAAAACAACAGAGGATCATTACAATGGGATAAGATTACTGAAGGAAGTTAATTTTGTTCCAAAAATTGAAGGGAGCATTTGAATTTGTTTTCAATCTTACAGAATTCCAGAAGAAAGTTGGTGCAGGAGATTCATATAATACAGGCATACCCTGCAGAACACTGAGTTGAGTTTTTATTTTTCCTTGCCTTTAAGTCTTAAGGACACCCTTTCCTAATACAGGGATGTCCTGAGTTGAGACTCATCATCCCCTTTTTGTGTCTTTTCTGCCCTCTGCCCTTCTGGTCTTCTTATTTCTGGAACCCCCAAAGAAGACACAGCCCTTTAAAACTCCTCCCCTTTAAGGCTGGCCTTGCTTAAGACCTAATCACAACCTGTTATTGAAGCTTCCAGAGACGGTCCTCAACCTTCCCCACTCTCACTCCTCTGGGTTCCCCAGTTTGGCTCTGTCTTCTTCAAGTTTGCATTGCCTCCTTCCACAGAGGTTTGCAAGTCTCCCTTTAAGAAATGCCCTCCACTCTTTATTATGTTTTAACATTTTTTTTATCCCATGCTCTTATGCCTGCTTTCTACCAATCCCGTCCACCAGCCCTGCTGGGCCCCTGTGGGACTTTGAATTTTAGAAAATGGTCACATGTAGTAAAGTCCTGCTCTAGAAGACGGAGCACTCCATTTCCTACTCCCCCAGTGGCCTGTATCTCTCCAGGCCTCCTCTCCTGTAAATCTGAAACAGAAATGACAAGATTCCCAAAGGAAAGCATTTGCAAAGTGCTCTGAGTGCTTTGATGACATTGATTGGGTAAATGGAACCATATTTTTTCTTGCAACTGCTCTAGCCTATTAAAAAAAAGTAATGTATGCAAATTCAGTGACTCACCATTTAACAAATAATGAAGGTTCTTTGTAATTTTAAATATCATTTCACAAGGGATTTTTCCAACAATAAACAACAACAACAAAAACCAGAACACTTGATTTGAAATGTTTAAAAAATAAGTACTGCTTGATATCGTTAAAACAGTGCTTTTGTTATCAATGATTGAATTAACGTTTTGTTGAAATTTTCTAGCTTCTCTTCTGAAGGGTTTGAAACATGCCAATATTGTGCTTCTACATGACATAATCCACACCAAAGAGACCTTGACATTCGTTTTCGAATACATGGTGAGTTGCCCCAGAATTTTACAGAGCATGAGGGAAAAGCCTGGTGCTTCTTTAATGAATCTGTTAATATTTTATGGCCTGATAAAATTTTCATTACAATGTGGAAAGTGTCATAGAAATTTTCATTATTATGATTAATAGAGCCTATTGTTCTTAACTCGTTCTTTAATCTTGCTTCTTTACCCACTATATTTGTGTTGTCTTTTTCCCCTCACCAGCAATAATACATAAGAATTTTGAGTTTGCCTCCTAAATAAAACTTTTGCACTTTTTAAAACCTACTTTTAATCACTATCTGAGCAGAACCAAAACCAACATTTTCCACAGACTATGAAGACACAAATCACAAGGTTTTTAGAAATTATATACAAGTTTACTATAGTATAATTCATTTATGTGTTTTTGAGAAGAAAAACCATTCAAATATTAGCAGAAAGAAATCATAAGGTATGTGTACTTGACTTGCCTCCAAGAAGAGTGAAAAATTCCTTTATCATTGTGGTCAGTGATAGTCACTTAAGATGAGCATTTCTTGCCCTGGCCAATCTGGCTCAGTGATTAGAGCATCAGCCCGAAGATCTAAGGGTCACAGGTTCAATTCCAGTCAAGGGCATGTACCTGGGTTGCAGGTTTGATCCCCGGCCCTGGTTGGGGTTGTACAGGAGGCAACCAATCGATGTGTCTCTTTCACATCTATGTTTCTCTCTCTCTATCTCTTCCTTCTACTCTGTCTAAAAAAATCAATGCAAAAATATCCTTGGGTGAGGATTAACAACAACAACAACAAAAAAATGAACATCTCTTTATACTGCAAAACAAACTTGCTTCTAAGAGCAGCCAGTTAGAATGACACACTGTGTTTTTTACCTTGAGAGTAGGGGCTCAGAAAACCTGATTATGTACCTTTTATACCTTATTTGAAAAAATTCTGGACTTTGTAATACCTCTGATAGTCAAATCTATGATTTGCTTAAGGGCACTGTGCAAGCACCACTAACATCAGTCTCTCCTGTTTCATGTAGCACACAGACCTGGCCCAGTACATGTCTCAGCACCCAGGAGGGCTTCATCCTCACAATGTCAGGGTGAGTATTCTGAGGGTCAGGCCTCTCTGGCTTGCCTACAACAAGAGAATTTTGAAACAGACTGCCAGTGCAAAGCAAAGTCCCAGGATACTAAATAAGAAGATGACCAATAAAAAAGTTGTCCCTCAAGATATGGAGCAGGAGCAATGTTTAGTTGTTTTCTGAGCAGTCTAACCTTGTCAGTCATTGCCATCATGCCAATGTGTCCCGAGAAGCATAAGTCAATTAAAAAGAATTGCATTAAAAAGAAAGAAATGAAGGTAGGCCATCATAAAATAAATACCTTTTTCATGGCAGACTACTATTGTCTGTGATCAAGTTTGTGTTGTATATATAGTTCCCTACTAGAATTAGCAAACAAACTACCTTCTTTAGATCTTAATCAGTTACCGTTTTGCCTGAACTATCAGATCCTGTTATCTATGGGACTAGCTTCCATTTTTCCAGTCATTACACTAGAAATAATAATAAACTCTTAACTAGGTGTAATTCTACATGTGTTATAAATTTTAGAAACCATTTGTATTTTATACTTTTTATTCCCTAAAGTTTAATTGGCACTAATTAATTGATATGAGATTTGTATATGATGTACTCATTCATTTAACTAATAATTTATATATTCATTTATTCATTCAGTCAAGAAATATTTATTGAGTACTTAGTACTATATTCAGTTCTGCGGTTTTACTAATATATAAGTTGTGTTTCTTATTTTCAGTGTGCTTAAAGCCCAGTAACATACATGGACTTAAACAGGTAGTGAGAAGCAGAGTTATAAGGCTATGGAATATTATTAGAACTCTTTTTTTTTTTTTTTTTTTTAATATCCTCACCCAAGGACATTTTTTTGCATTTATCTTGAAACAGAGCGAGAGGGAGAGAGGGAGGAAGGGAGAGAGAGAGAAACATCGATGTGAAAGAGACACAGCGAGTGGCTGCCACCCACGACCAGGGACAAACTGCAACCAAGGTACACGTCCTTGGCGGGAACCGAACCTGGGCCTCTCTGGTCCGCGGGCCAACACTCTAACCACTGAGCCAAACCAGCCAGGGCATATTATGAGAACTCTTACTAAGAGGCTTAATCTACTCTTGGAAGCCAAGGGGGGAAAGGCTGAAGGACAAAGGGGTTGAGGAGAGTGAAGAAATTATAATAGTTATTGAAGAATGGGATAGAGAACTAACTAGGGGAACCAAGAAAGTCAAGTAGTGTGTTAAAGATTCTAATGAGAATGAAAATCATTAAATTATCTGCATGATCATGGGATTTTTTTTTAATGGCAGTGCTCAGCAATTCAAATAGAAGAACAGAGAAAGTAGACAGTTTGATTGATTCAGAGTTGGGGTTTTGTCAGATAAGTGAGAGGAAAAGAGAGTCTGGCAAGAGAATTGAAGAGAATGTCAAGAGGTTAAAATGATGGTCAGTGGTTTCTAAACTGAGGGAAGGAAGTGAAGATATGCAGGTTGCTGATAGCTAAGTAGAAAGCAGAAGAGTCAAGGAACTAGACTAGAGGCATTGGTTAAATAGAAGAATGGTTAGAGAAAAAAATAACTGTGAGAAAGATGTTCAGTCTTATGTGACTCACATACAAGATACTATACTATAGGCTTAGGAGGAAAAAAAGACATTTACATCCAAAAACAAGATAAAAGAAATATGCACCAAAATTATTGCAAGACATTTGTGAATAATGCCAAGTAACAAATAACACCTAGTATCATAGATGCATAAGGAAGTAAAATATATTTTTTCATTTTAAGAGGTTTCATTAAGCCAGAACTTTAAAAATGCATTGCATTTTAAGAGGTTGAAATAGGGGAAGATGTTACAGAAAGAAGGAATGTTTTCACCAAAGGTACAGAGCAGGGAGGTAGGGGATGTGTTCAAGGAAGATCCCGGAGTTATGGATTGTTAGGGTTAGGGAGGGGGCTAACCGTGGTTTTCAGTCTTCTGGTTCTGATACATTAGTGGATTATAAAATCAATTTGGTGATTAGCAACCAATGTTTTATTTTCTTTATTTTTTATTAAATTTTTATTGATTGATTTTAGAGAGAGGAAGAAAGAGAGAGAGAGAAACATTGATTTATGGTTCCACTTATTTATGCATTCATTGATTGTTTATTGTATGTGTCCTAACCCAAAACCTTGCTGTATCAGGATAACACTCTAACCAACTGAGCTACCCAGTCAGGGCCAGCAACCAACATTTTAAAGAATAAAATGGAATGGGTAAGAAGAAAATAGAAAATATTCTGTGTGCCCGGCTGGTGTGGCTCAGTGGTTGAGTGTCAACCCATGCACCAAGAAGTCACCAGTTTGATTCCTAGTCAGGGCACATGCTCGATTCCCAGTAGGGAGCATGTAGGAGGCAGCCAATAGATGTCTCTCTCATCGATGTTTCTCTCTCTCTTCCTCCCTCTCTAAAAATCAATAAAAACATATTTAAAAATATATTTTGTGCAACTTTTATTCCAATTAAAGCTGTACTTATATCTATATATGGTTGTGAATATTGGGTACATATGTATTTCTTATTTTGGTTGCAGTGAAAAATAAACCTTTAAAAACTTTGGATTGATCTAACTTCCTTGTTTTGCAGAAGTGGAATCTAAAGTTTGAGAAAACAAACATTGCTCCTGAGGTTATAGAACAAGCTTTTGCCATTGCTAAATGTGATTCTTGGTTAGGATGCTTTTCCACTACTGCTATCTTGTCTCTAGTCCTTTGGCCTGACATATAGAATATATTAGCGAAATGAGGTACATAAGTCTGGGGAAATAGATTGGGTAGGCTTCTGAGAGCCTTACTTTCTAAAATGTATTTATTCTTTAGGCATTCGAGTCTTGAAAGGAATTTGAGTTGAAGCAGAAGTCGTAGTCACAGAAATCCCTAAAGAAGAGAAAGACCCTGGAATGGGTGGGATGGGTGGAATGGGAGGTGGCATGGGTGGTGGTATGTTCTAATCCTAGAATGGTGCTTTACCATCATTAATGGGAACCTGAGAGGAAGCTCAGGGCAGTCTTCCTCACCTATAACCTCAGAGAAGTCAGTTGAAGGAAATGGCTGAAGAAAAGGCTGGCTGAGGTTCAAGAAAATCACTATAACCATCAGTTACTGGTTTCAGTTGACAATACAATGGTTTCCTGCTGTCATTGTCAATGCCTACAGATCATTTATTTTGTATTTTTGAATAAAAATACATTTTTACATTCCTAATAACTAAGTGCAAGAGCCATGTACCAATGTACTGCTTTCAACTTAAATCATTGAGGCATTTTTACTACTATTCTGTTAAAATCAGGATTTTAGTCGTTACCCGATAAGTTAAAAAACAGCCTTTACAAGGAGATTAAGAATAATTGTGTAGAAAGTAGAGAAATATCCAGTTATGTGAACTTTGTATAATAAAAATTTGTTTAAATTAAAAAGAAATAAAGATTGGAATTTGAGTTGAGAGAGAAGGACATGCTCAGAAGGAAATGTGTGTAACTGTGCTCTATGGGATGGATTAAAGAGAGAAGACGAGTCAGGAATTCCAGTCAGGAGTTTAGTGGTCTAGCCCAGCGCTTCTCAAACCTCAGTGAGCAGATAAATGACCTGGGGATCTTATTCAGGAGGTCTAGGCTGAGGCCTGAACTTCTGCTTCTAACATGATCCCGGGTGACATAGAAGCTGCTGGTCGAGGACCCAACTTTGAGTATCAAGGGTCTAGGTAAGAAGTAATAAAAACTAAATTATGGTAGTGAAGGTAAGAATGGAAAGGAATGTGCAAAATGGAGACAATGAAGATTTCATCCAGGACACAGTGACTAACTGGACACGAGGAGGGAAACGATGGGGCCAAACATGACTGATTTTGAGTTTGATTGACTAGGAGAATTATAGCTTGGTTACCAGAACTAGAAGACATTGGTTTGAAGAAGAGGAGGAGAATGAGCTTCTAGTTGAGGGGCATAGCCAAAGGGAAATGGGCAGCAGGCAGCTGAACAGGAGACTGGTGCTCAGGAGGGAGGGACACACGAACTGAAGATGTAGATTTGAGGGTAATCGGCCCAAGGAGTTTGTAGGTAAAGATGAGCGTGGATAACCAAAAGAGCAAATCCACAAGGGGAAAAGGACTGATGATAGAACATTTGCCTTTAGGGGATAAGAAGAGGAAGAGGACAGCAAGGGACAAAGGGAAGAAGTTTTTAGAAACACAGAAGATCCAGAAAAATACATTTTCTTGGCAGTCAAGGAAAGGAGCCAGAAGAAAATTCATCGGAGGTTGAGTTATAGAGAGTTTTTAAACCAGGATTGAGGAGTAAAGAGCAAGCAGTGAAAAAGTTTGAGAGAGGAAGAAACCATGGATACTGGATTAAATGAGGAAGCCCAGAGCAATACGGAGGTGAGCTTATGGGAGGAAAAAAGAATAGTCAGGAGGCCTATATTTTTAGTAGTGACCACAGAAGACATGATGGGAATAGCCTGTGTCAGATTTAACAAGCCCCAGGGACCCCTGGTGAGTGGAAGGACTCAGCCCTCCCTGCAGGAGTTGGCTGACTAATCTGACTGTGTTTTGAGGGATTCCAGCCCAGATGGCAGTTACCCAAAGGAATTACATTTTGTTCCCAAAAGCCTCATTGTGTTGGAAACAAAACTAACCCCTGGGGTATGGGAAGCCTCTCTGGAAAGAGTCACCCACGATCTGGCTTGATGTTGACTGAAGAAACACTATCAGATTGGTTCATATTATCGGTGAAGCTTCAGTGGTGTTGAAGGAAGAATCCAGGTTATAAAGGATTAAAGAGTGAGTGGGTGGTGAGCTCAGTCAGCACACACTGCAGTTTTGAGAAGTGTGGCTGTGAAATACCATACCTTAACACCACAGTGCTGCGCCGTTTACACATGCTTGCAGACAGACATACTCGGAGCCAAGGAGGAAAGGAACTGACAGCAAGAAGGTGGGAGGCGGGTGTGACTAATTAGTGAGAACAGTCTATCCTTGGGACATGAAAGGCTTTTCAGCCCGGCCCTCTGAGAAGCTCTGTTTCTGACTCCGCCAGCTGACTCCTTTTCCCAGTCATGTTTTAATTTTCTGTCCTTTTTCTGGCTTCTCAGGATGGTGTAGTGGAATCAGGCACGACTGAATTTGACACCTGGCCCTGACTCTTTCTAAACATATTTTTAAAGTTTTCTATTTTTCTTATCTGTAAATTGAGGACAAGCATATCTAACTCACAGGGTTGTTTTGAGGATTACAAAAGATGATAGGCATTCGATAAATGTTATTTGCCCTTTCTTCCTTCTCTCTCTCTCTCCCTTACTGATCACCACCGTTCAGTCTTCTGTCCCTCACCTGTCTCCATCTCCCTCTTTCCTGGTACTTTCCCATTGAAAAATATATCTTATCTTTTACCTGAAATTTCAATAGGCTTTTTATATTGTCTTTTCCATGAACATTATAACCAATTGGAAGGTCTGAATGATGGTATAAGAATTTTGTGCTTTGGTAGCTTAGTGGTTTGATGTATGGAAAAATAGTGTGTGTGTGTTTGAAGCACCGAGAAGGTAAAACCTTGGGAAGATTAATAGGACCAGTGAACATTTGAAGTAGGAGTCTCAAGAAAATTTTAACATTCTTAAATGGTTTGTGAAGATGATGTGGGACCTGCATCAAACCTACACGGCCATAACTGTGCTGTGGTAGGTCAACTCCCCAGGCTCCTGCTTCAGTCAGACCATGCTGCTCATTAACTTGGCTCCAGTGTCTCTAAGTCAGTGTTAGATCAGTACAGGCCCTCGCATCTCTGAAGTTCCTAGTTTCCAAGATGTGATGGAAAAAAAATGGATTTATCCACACAGCTCTGGGTCTGCTATTTCGCCTATGTCCCCAGGAATGCTGGAGCTAGTCTTTTCTAAACTGTCAGAACATGTTCTCAGTTGGCATGGGTCTTTGTAAACACTAATGTTGTTGTTTGAATTCTCAATCGCCAGTGGCATTGGAAAATACCAAAAGACACTTGGAAAACTAAGCATTCTTTTTTTCCCTCTTAAACTTCTATAATGGTGGGAACCTACAAATGTCTGGTTTCTGTGCCTTATAACCAGTTTAAAATTTGGGTCCAGAATGTATTTTTCCTGTTGTTCTCTGCCTCTCTTCTTTCTTCTCTGTACTATTTATTCCTTATTCTCTTTTGATTTTGTTTTGTTTTATTTTTTAGGTCTAATTTCTTTTAGTTTCTCTTCCCTCTTAATCTATACTGTATATTTCCCTTATTTTCAACCTTGAAGCTAACACTTTAAAAATAGGTCTAAAAAGATCATGGTTCCTTGATTTCCTTTTACCATCTAAGGGTAAATGTCCCAGTCTGGTCTCCTTGTATTGTGTTTTTAAAAGCATTTCATATCAGAGAGCTTGGAAAACGTAAGCAGTTGTAAACTTTAAAATATCACTTCCAGGCCCTGGCCAGTTTGGCTCAGCAGTTAGAGCGTCGGCCTGCGGTCCAGAGAGACCCGGGTTCGGTTCCCGCTAAGGGCACGTACTTCGGTTGCAGTTTGTCCCCGGCCCTGGTTGGTCGTGCGGGTGGCAGCCACTCGATGTGTCCCTTCACGTCGATGTTTCTCACTCTCTCTCCCTTCCTCTCTCTCCCTCCCATTCTATCTGTACAAAAAATGGAAAAATTTCCTCGGGTGAGGATTAAAAAAATAAAAAATAAAAAAATATATATATATCACTTCCAGGTCAACTTTGATCTTATATGCCAAGGTCATTGGTGGGAAAAAAAATTAAATCTCTCACATCTAAATCAATAACTAGTGTTCCAAGAGAAACTTTAAAGTTTCACTTTAGATTTTTAAGGAAGGGTAATTCCTTCAATATCAAAGAAATGAGATGTCAGGGAAGGCCACAATCCCTTTGTTTTAGGACATGGTCTACTTACTTGACTTTCCTTGTCCTTTTTTTTCCCTCTTAATATAAAATCTTATCTCTTTTTTTGTCTCTCAAGAGACACTTTTACTATATTCTTACAGATGACTGTTTTTAATTTAGAGGAGAAATCCACACATAGTGGCTCAAATCTGTTTAGATAAGGTGTTCATTCCTTCCAGCTTTTCATGTTTCAACTTTTGCGGGGCCTGGCGTACATCCACCACCAACACGTTCTTCACAGGGACCTGAAACCTCAGAACTTACTCATCAGTCACCTGGGAGAGCTCAAACTGGCTGATTTTGGTAAGCTGCCCCTCGCGTCTTTTTCTGGGCTGTGAACAATGCTGCTTTTGTGTACACATGTTTAAAGCATTGACGAGGCCTGACCTTTGAAAAGTTGAGGCCCAGGGAGTGTGATGCTTTGAGGATATCAAACTACCACATAGGAAGTATGAGGCAAGAAACAGGGAGACATTGGTAGCTTTCTAGTTTTTTATCAAGTTCCAGTCTAATCAGATCCTAAAACTTAGGCACCTCTACTAGCCCACTGCCATTTTTGATATAGAGACATTTGTAGAGTGAACTGTACTTGGTAGGTTTCTGTAAAGGCTAGGTGGATATACAAATTCTGCCAGAGTAGATTGAGGATGTCCCAGGATGACAGGATCAGGCCCCAGACTGTCAGATGGAACCCTCCTACAATGAAGGCTGCAGGACACTTGTTCCTACTTAACTATGTACCTTTATAGGTGTGACTGCGTGGGTACCTGGGGCTTTTATGTCCATTAAAGTGATGCAGATTTCTCCTGAGTATTACTCTTTCAATTTTAGCTCTTTTCACAGTTTATAATTACACATTTGTGTGACAATTTTGACTTCACTAGACTGTAGGCATTATGATGGCAGTCTGGGTCCAGTTTTACTTATCATTGTATCCTAATGCCTGGCACCATAGTAAGTACGCAACAAACATTTGTTGAAGAGCTGGTTCTGTGTGAGCTGAGGAACTTCTCTGTTTGGCAGACGTCAAACAGTTGTACTATAGTGCAGTACTTTATTCTGAGATAGTAGCTTTCATCCAGACATGTAAACATTTAACAGACATTCATTTACCAGTGCCCCACAACAGTGATTCATCTATGAATATTTTTCTAGCTATAGATCATGTGAACTAAGAGATCAGTGGCTGACTGACAAAGTACTCTCATTGTGCAGAGGAACACTTGAAAATGACTCATCGAAGGTCCTACCAAACTCACTAATTTGGATGAGCAACCCCTAGCCTTTATCTAACTGGGGATGCCTGAACTGTAAAACTGGAGGGAAGCCATGGTAGTTATGAATTGAGTTTTGTTGCTGTTACAGAGACCCACAATCACAGAGATGTAAACATGCTAGAAGCTTGACTTACTCTCACATAACCATCTGATCTAAACAGTCAGAACTCTAAGGTGGCCCCTTCTGTCATGTGGCCTCACTGTCCCTAGGGTGTTGCTGAAAGTGCATATTTCAAGGTGGCTGCTGCCTCCTTCTGATTGCAGCCCAGAGGAGGGAGGTCTGGAAGTTTACACATCACTTCTGTTCGTAGACTATAGGCAAGATTTAGTCACCTCATTACACTGAGCTGCCAGGAAAGCCACATCTAGCTGCACAAGTAGGCTACAATGTGAGAAAGTCACTTGATGAAGAAGTATACAAGGGTCAATATAGTTAAGTAGCTTTATCAAAAGCACCCAGGGTTCGGGTATTATTTTTAAAATAGTATTTACTTAGCCAGTTATACCCTTCTTGATAGAATGTGTCACTGTGGCTCTCCAGAAAACCCCAGGACAGTGAGTTCTGTGCTTCTCCCCTTTGGTCAGGTCTTGCTCGGGCCAAGTCCATTCCCAGTCAGACATACTCTTCAGAAGTTGTGACCCTCTGGTACCGCCCTCCTGATGCCTTGCTGGGAGCCACTGAATATTCCTCTGAACTGGACATATGGTAAGAGCTAGTGCCCCCAAAATGAAGAAAATGTGAGTCATTCTACCCTTGAGGGTTACTTTGTCATCTGTAGTACTTTTTTAAAAGATTTTATTGTTGTTTTTTTTGTTTTGTTTTGTTTTTAGAGAGGGAGAGGAATGGAGAGGGAGAGAGAGAAATATCGATATGAGAGCAATATTGATCAGCTGCCTCCTGCACCCCGCTGCAGGAATGGAGCCTACCCAGGCATGTGCCCTGACTGGGAACCAAACTGCCAACCCTTCAGTGCATGTGACTGAACTGAACCATACTGGCTAGGACCATAGTACATTTTAAATAATAATGCAAATGACAATCACATTTGTCTACAGAAACATAAAGTGCTTTCAAATACATACCCCATTTTTCCAATCATTCTACTAGTTTTTACAGTTAAAGAAACTGAGGTTTGGAGAGGTCTTGCCCAAGGCATCTTCTGAATCCTATACTTTTCTACCATGCCTCACCTCCCAGCTCTTCTTGTCCATGCTTTGTCTTTTCTCCTTGTCTGCATAGAACCACACATACACTCCAACCCACAGATACACATACACACTCATGTGCGCACACGTGCGCGCGCACACACACACTTGTCTGTACATGCGTGCTCACACGTGCCCAAACACAGTTCAGAGCCTGGTGAAAAAAGCGTAATGACCAAGACTCAGAAGAACTGATTTTTATTCCAATTCTACTTCTAACCAATTTCTCTGGATTATGTAATCTTGAAAAAGTCATGTATCCTATTTGTGTCTATGTTTCTCCATTTTAAAAGTGAGGGTAACAAACTCTCCCCATGAGGGGTTAAATGGGACTGTAGTGTTAATATAAGAACCAGATAGATGCTGTCAAGTAGAACCACATTGTTGGGGAGGCTCTTGGATTAATGGGATGTGGTGATGAGTGTGGGATCTCAGGCACTCCTCATTCCTAGGGCAGCAGTGTTATGTTATCTAGATCTTATTCCGGAAATATCCCAGTTATTTGGGGGCCACAGTTAAATGTGTGGTGACTGCGTCATAGCCACCTCCTCAAAGGTACCAAAATACATGGACTTCTTTCAAGACCTTAGAAGGTCATATATAAACAGAAGGCACTGTGCTGTTTTGTTTTTTTAAAAAATCAATTATGGATTAAAAACATTAAACAGTATCCTAAATAGCTAAACTAAGCTTTGGATTTCCCAAAGAATTGAGAAAGGTTGCAGAAATTTTCCTCCAGAGTATCTAGAGTCATTGATTTTCTACTACCCAGTGCCATTTCTGCAAGTATCATCTGCTAGTCAGACTCTCCTGAAACCATCAGATCTCATGGTCATTTCAAAGGCCTTCGATGGGCTCCAGCCTTCTCCACTCTTTTTTTTTTTTGGTACGTGCCCCTAGCAGAAACCCGAACCCAGGACTCTCTGGTCCGCAGGCTGATTCTCTAACTGCTGAGCCAAACTGGCCAGGGCATCTTTCGCCACTCTTAATGATCACTTTCTAGTTGTGCTTCACAGACAGAGTGAAACTTCTACTTACCACTTTTAAACTTTGCTTTATTATGAAATATTTAAAACATTCAAAAATGTATATAGCACATATATGTGTGTGTACACACACACACACACACACACACACACGAGCGATTCTCAACAAGGGTCAATTTTACTTCTCAGGAATGTTTGGCAATGTCTGGAGACATTTTTCATTGTCACAGCTGGGTGGGTGGTGCTATTGGTACCTAGTGGGTAGTGGTCAGGGATGGTGCTAAACATCCTCAGTGTACAGGACAGCACCCTCCCCAGCAACGATTTATCCAGTCCAAAATGTCAATAGTGTCAAGATTGAGAAACATGATGTACATTAGGAAGCATAATAAAGTGAGGTCCATAAACCCACCCCGCAGTGTAACAACTAGAACATAATCAATACTGTCACATCTGCCTGTATTCCTATTCCCTTCAACCTACCCCTCCGTAAGAGGGGGCTTCTACCCTGAATTTTTTCTCTCGCATCATTCCCTTACCCCTTTTCAAAATAATATTTTTTTATTTTAAAATGGATTCTAAAAAAAGTTTTTCCTTTACCTGGTTTTAAGTTTTTATAAAAATGGTATTATATTGGTTTTAATGTTTTCATTTGATTTTTTTTAAGAGAGAGAGAGAGAGAGGTAAAAACACCAATGAAAGAGAAACATTGACTGGCTCCCTCCTGCACTGCCCCACTGGGGATTGAGCCAGTAACCCAGGCATGTGCCCTGACTAAGAATCGAACCAATGGCCTCTTGGTGCATGAGTCGAAGCTTAACCACTGAGCCCAACTGGCAAGTTGTAGTCTTCTGTGACTTGCTTTTGTTTTTTGCCCAATATGTTTCTAAGGTTCATCCATTTTGATCAGTGTAATTATACTTTTTTCCTATTGATGAACATTTATGTCATTTAGTTTGCTTATTGTTTTGCTTATTTTTGCTATTATAAATATATGTGGTATTTACATTTAAGGATTTCTTTAGGGTACTTTCTTAGGAATAGATTTGCTGTGTCACAGAGTATATGAATGTTTAACTTCATAAAATAGTGCCAAATTGTTTTCCAAAAGTGATTGTAATATTTTATATACCAACAGTGTACTATGATCCCTTATCCACATGTGCACCAACTTTATAATAGCAGATTTCTTAATCATTGCTAATCAAGTGGGTAGAATGGCATAATCTTATGATCTAAATTTGCTAATTACTAATGCGGTTGGACATTTTTTCATGGATTGTTTGCCATTTGTGTTTTCTCTTCTATGAAATACCTGGTTGTGGCCCTGGCCGGTTTGGCTCAGCGGTTAGAGCGTCGGCCTGCGGTCCAGAGAGAACTGGGTTCAGTTCCAGCTAAGGACACATACCTCGGTTGCAGTTTGTCCCCGGCCCTGGCTGGTCGTGCGGGTGGCAGCCACTAGATGTGTCCCTTTTACATCGATGTTTCTCTCTCTCTCTCTTCCTCTTTCGCCCTCCCACTCTATCTTAACAAAAAAGTGGAAAAATGTCCTCGGGTGAGGATAAAAAAAAAATATATACCTGGTTGTCTTTTATTTGTTTTCTTTATTTATTTGTCGCTGTCTCTGACTGTCTCTCTCCCTCTCTCTCCTTCCCTTCCCTTTCTTCATTGATTTATAGGAGTTCTTATATTCGGGATACTAATCTTTTATCAGTCATGTGTGTTGCAAGTAGTCTCCCCCAATTCATGGCTTATGCTTTCATATCTTTACGTTGTCTTTATGAACAAAAGTTCTTACTTTTAATATTTCTGACCATACCAATCTTTTCTTTTATGGTTAACCCAATTGTTTCTTGTTTATAACATTCTTCCCTTCCTGAAATCAGAATGATATTGTCCTATACATTCTTTTAAAAGTTGTAAAGTTTTTTCCTTTCACTTTAACTCTAATACTACATTGGAAATTGACTTTTGTATATGCTAACCAGTTGTTCGGCCCCAATTTCTTCAGCTATCTGCTATACTAAATCTCTCATATATCAAGTTTCTGTAAGTGCATCGGTCTGTTTCTGTGCTCTCAGTTCTTTTCCACTGGAGTCAGTTTATCTGTCCCTGTATCAATGTCCCACTGTATTAATTTCTATAGCTTTATAATAATACTTGAAATTGGGTAGGTCAAGTCTCCCCACTTATTCTTCTTCCAGTGTCTTGGCTATTTCTCCCTATTGATTTTTTCATATAAATTTTAGATTCAGTGTTTCAAGTTTCATGAAAAATCCTAATGGAATTTTCATTGCAATTTTCTTCAAATCTGAGAACACTGACAATAATTAACACCTTTGTAATATTGTCTTCCAATTTTAAAACATGGTATATCTCTTCATCTGTTTAGTTCTTCTTTAATGCCTTCTAGTAAAGTTTTACGATTTTTTCTCTAAGGTCTTACATAACTAGAGCAAAGATCCTTGTAAGTCTGTTTCTTTTGAATCTTGTATATGGTAATTTTTTCCATGCATGTTTAGTTGTTTTTGAGAGGGATACACTAGTTTTTCTTGGAATTTCATTTGTGGGATTTTATTTTATTTTATTTTTTAGGCATTGAATACGGTGGGTTTTCTCAGAGAGATTTACATTTGATTCTGCTAGGTGTATTTTTAAATTAAAAACTTTATTATTATATCACACATACGTGTTGGTCTGCCACCCAAATCTTGATTTCTTAATACCATTCCCTACAAAAAAAAACAAAAAACTAAAACTTTTTGAAGAAATGGCTGACTCTGAGGCTATGGCAGAAGAAAGTACAAGATAGGTCAGGACCAGCTTATTGGGCTGGGACATTGTTTTACAAAGTGATCAAAATATGATGGGAATGTGTCAAAAGGACATGGAAGCAGCTTGAAGAGACTCCCACTAGCCAGAGTTGGTACAATTTAAGCATCAATGTAAATAATTAGGGTAATGGATTATAACCCATTGAAAAAAAGAATACATAAGTCTGTATTAAAGATAGTCAGATGGAAATAGATAAGACAGGAAGCTCCTCCTTACAGTAGAATGCTAACTAATAACTGGAGAAGAAATGATGAAGTTAGAAAATCACTATTTTGTTTTTGTTTTGTTTTTGTTTTTTTTATCCTCACCCGAGGACATTTTTACATTCATCTTCAGGTAGAGCGGGAGGGAGAAAGGAAGGTAGAAAGAGAGAAACATCAATGTGAGAGAGACACATCGACTGGCTGCCACCCACACGACCCCAACCTGAGGCCAGGGACAAACTGCAACCGAGGTATGTGCCCTTAGTGGAAACTGAACCCAGGTCTCTCTGGATCGCAGGTCGACGTTCTAACCGCTGAGCAAAAACAGCCAGGGCAGAGAAATCACTATTTTGTAATATAATAGTAACTGGTTCAAATGAGAATCATCAATGCTAAACTAGAGCTGAAAGTTTGATGAGGAATAGGATATTTACATAGTCTTAAAGTATCTCTCCGCAAATTACTTATTAATTACA